GCTAATCAGTGATTCAGTTGATTCATTCAGATGACAGATTCATTCAGGATACACATCATGTCTTCAGGCTTCAGTGTGTGTGTGTGTTTGTTTGTGTGTGTGTGTATTTGTGCGTGTTTGCATGTGGGTATTTGTGTGTGTATGTTTGTGTGTGTGTGTGTGTGTGTGTGCGTGCGTGTGCGTGTGTGTATTTGTGCTTGTGTGTGTTTGCATGTGGGTGTATTTGTGTTTATTTGTGTGTCTGTGTGTGTGTGTGTGTGTGTGTGTGTGTGTGTGCGTGTGTGTATTTGTGCTTGTGCGTGTTTGCATGTGGGTGTTTGTGTGGGTGTATTTGTGTTTATTTGTGTGTGTGTGTGTGTGTGTGTGTGTGTGTGTGTGTGTGTGTGTGTGTGTGTGTGTGTGTGTGTGTGATTGAGTGAGTGTTATTGTTGTGTGTAATTGTGTATTTATGTCTCTGTGTGTGTGTGTGTGTGTGTGTGTGTGTGTGTGCGCGTGCGTGCGTGCGCGGGCGTGTGTGTGTGTGATTGCGTTAGTGTTTTTGTTGTGTGTAATTGTGTATTTATGTCTGTGAGTGTGTTTTATTGTGTCTATGTGAGTTTGTGTGAGTGTGTATTTTTGTGTGAGTTTGTGTAATTTTGTATTTGTTTGAGTGTGTGTTCGTGTGTCTGTGTGTATTTGTATGCATTTGTGTATTTAAGTGTAAAGTGTGTGTGAGTTTGAGTTTTGGACGTAGTATCCGTGATGTCACCCATCGGTTTCTAAAGAACGCAAAAGAAGCTACAAGTGGGCGTGGCCAACCGCTTCCATTTTGTTTGCACGTCATCGCACTGACTGGGGGTGACCAAATAAGGGCAAAGAGGCGGAGCGTGAGCGGAGCTACAGACACCTGCTGGCATTTTGCTTGGACCTGCTGTAATACATTGAGCCACTAAACATTGTTCTCATGACGTTTTTCTACTGGAGGAAAATACTAATTCCAAACACTTCAGATATAGTCTGTGTTAGTAAGAGCAAGACTATTAATGAACTCCAGCATAACACTGTATGACAACGCTTCAGATGACTGTTCTAGAGCCTACAGCTGATCAATCTGTCAGATTCTGGAGTGCATTACAGCTCTAAAGAACATTATACATGATGAATGATCTTAAATAAAACAAATACTTTTATAGAGATGGTATATATGTGTATAATTTCACTCAGCTGGGAAATGGAGGCCATGTGAATGGTTTGTGAGCACAATTAAGCACACAAAGCATCCCATATCATCTGATAATTGTAGAAAATAATTCCAAAAGGCAACTGACTGTGTAAAGCCACATAAAACAACACAAAAATGCAACGTATATGCTGAGTTCAGCAGCTAATCAGCCGGAATCATAGAGGTGGAGTGACTGCGACCAGCGTGACCTAGCTGTCACTCAAGTGGCCACGCCCTAATTATGCAGGTTTAACCCTAAAACAAAATGGATGAGTTATAAAAATATTTACCCTCTCACAGTTGTCATGAAGGGTAATATTAGCTATATGCACCAAAGCCATCTTTTGTAGCAGGCTGTAAGCATGTTTTAATCAGCTGTAAAAGTGGCCAGTTCACCATTGCAGTCAGAAATCATCTTGGGCCTCATGTACAAAGACTTTTCAGATGTATGAAACACTGCGTACGCCGAATCTCACGCATATTCTTTTGTACATCCGAATGAGCGTGAATCTGAGCGCAACATGCACGAGCACAAAACCCCTCCCTGCCTCCTCCCCCGTATGAATATGCTAATGACTCTACTTGGGCAAAACCCAACGGAAAAGCAAGCAAGAAGAGAAACTTTGAACAGAATGTGAATTGGAGGTGCTGCTTTCGGAGGTAGACCGGAGAAAAGCTGTGTTATTTGCAAGTTTGTCCTCCGGAATTAACAACAAAAGAAAAAAATAGAGTGGGAGAGTTTAGCTGATGCGGTCAACACAGTTGGGTCTGAACATCGCACTGAGTGCCTTAAAAAAAGAAATAGTGTGGTTTATAGCTGTAAAATGTTGCAATACTCGTAACAGTCTCAGTGGTGCAGCTCGTAAGACGCATGTCAACATGTTTTGACACGTTCGAGCATGAACTTGGTTCGAATCCAGCGTCTGATGAACTCTTTCTTCTTTTTTTCCCCGCTACATATCAGATTTTGCCAACTATTTATCACGAGAAAGACAAGTAGGAATCATTAATAAGTCTGTGCATCATATTTTATTTGCACATTTATTGAATGGAAATGTTTCTGATTCACGCATGCAAATTCATCTTCAGATAGTGTCAGATAGTGTCAATGTGCGTGCAGTATAGATCGCTCAGATTACATTGGGAAAACAGGCGACCGCTGCAAATTGTGCTTTAATGTTTAGCTGGTCAACTGTATGGTATGGAAACCTTATATACCTGCTAGATGAACCCGTCTCATACAGCTGCCATTGCACGGCTCAGACACTTTGTAGAGAGGAATTGAACACAACTGCCTCTAGGAGTCGCCAATGGAAATAAAACAGACACGCACAAAAAATGTGCGTACGCCAGACATGAAGCTGGTGTGGAGCTGCGCACATTCCCACGTTCAGTTCATCGTTAGTAAATCCAAACGTGAGCGATTCTGAGCATGAAACCTGGCGTACGCAAAGTTTTTGTGCGTACGCAGTGTTGATACATGAGGCCCCTGGAGTTCCTGCAGCCAGCCCCCCAAAGGCGAGTCGATGAATTGCAGTTTTAGTTACTTCCATATTGGCTTCCCGAGGGAGAGCGGGAGGTTGCTGCTTAGTGTATATATGTGTTTCTGTGAGTGTGTATTTATCTGTAAGCGTGTGTGCCTGCATGGGTGCATGTCTATCTATCTTCAGGTCGCTGAATTCCTCCTCAGTTGTAAGTCTCTTTAGACCAGGTGTCTCAAACTCACTTTACCTTGGGGGCGCTGGAGGCAGAGTCTGGGTAGGGCTGGGTGGCATCAGGTTTTCCATAAGAAATTAGTTATATTAGTAATTATTTATTTCTAATTTGTCAATTTTTTTCATCTTATTTTGTGTTAAAAATAAAGCTAAAGAGATTTAAGAAGATAGGAATTATTTAACACAAAATAAGATGAAAAAAAATAAACAAATTAAACCTAAGAATTAAATTAAGAAAAAAATTATTAGTAATAAATATTAATAAAAATAATAGTTATAATAATAATAATAATAACAATAACAATAGCAATAATAATAGTAATAATAATAGTAATAACAATAATTATAATAGTAATAATATTAATAATAATTATAATTATAGTAATAATAATAATAATAACAACAATAACAATAGCAATAATAATAGTAATAATAATAGTAATAACAATAATTATAATAGTAATAATATTAATAATAATAATAATAGTAATAATAATAATAGCAGTAATAATAATAATAATAATAATAATAATAACAATAACAATAATAATAGTAATAACAGTAATCATAATAGTAGTAGTAGTAGTAATTATAAGAAAAAAAAGAAGAATAGTAATAATAGTAATAGTAATTCATTCATGCATTTTCTTGTCGGCTTAGTCCCTTTATTAATCCTTGGTCGCCACAGCGAAATGAACCGCCAACTGATCCAGGGCGTTTTTTTGGCAGCGGATGCCCTTCCAGCCGCAACCCATCTCTACGAATAATAATAGTAATAATAATAACAATAATAATATTAACAATAATAATAGTAATAATAATAATAGTAATGACAATAATAATAATAAAAATAATAATAATAATAATAAGAAGAAGAAGAAATAATAATAGTAATAAGAAATAATAACAATAATAATAGTAATAATAATAATAACAAAAATAATAATAGTAATAATAATAACAATAATAATATTAACAATAATAATAGTAATAATAATAACAATAATAATATTAACAATAATAATAGTTATAATAATAATAGTAATGTCAATAATAATAATAAAAATAATAATAATAAGAAGAAGAAATAATAATAGTGATAAGAAATAATAACAATAATAATAGTAATAATAATGATAACAAAAATAATAATAGTAATAATAACAACAACAATAATAATAATAACAACAATAATAGTAGTAATGATAATAATAATAATAATAATAATAATAATAATAATAATTCGGTTTACTGTTATCCGCCGTGCTGTTGCTACAGGAAAAAGAAGCAACACTGTGTTTTTGTCATTTGTTTTGAGTACTTTTACGGCATATAGACTTATATGTTTATTGTGTGAGGCGAAGCAAATACAATGCAGGTAGAGCGATGCAAATGACCTACAAAGAACGGTGCGACTATAATTGGTCCGGGTTACCGGGGACTCTTATTGCAGATGGACAGGTGTCGCTGTGTGACTCTCTTACACACACACACACACACACACACACATGCAGGTATTCACTGCGCAAAAGTTAATGCCGAATCAATTCAAATTAATACCTGAAAGAAAAATACAAATATCTGACATTTCCCAGAACAGCATGCGGCAAGATCCTGCTCAAATTAAGCGCTGATTTATATACACTTATATATGTATAATGTCCTGCTGGGCAGCAACTTAAAAAGCTTTTTTGAAGTGTTGTGAATGAAGCGTGCTGGGACCAATGTCCTCGTGTGGCCAATAGAAACCAGGCAGCCAGCAGGCACGGTAGAAAACACTCACAACACTGCTGTAACTTTCACTTATTGGGAAATGTTTGTCTGCCTGCATCAAGGCCAGCCGATGTCCCGCCCCCGAGAGCCATATACCCACCGTGATTGGTTGGTTCGTTCAGCTCCACACCCAAACTGTAAAGTGCCATACATATCAAACTCGCAGGCCGCACCAGTATTAAACTTTCAAATTAAGGCCGAGGCCACAAACTGTCATCCTGCGGGGTGCGAGTTTGAGTCCACTGATATAGACAAACTCAGGTTTCTGCTGTATGACTGATTGTATCTGTACAATGTGTGTGTGTGTGCAGGTGCTGGAGGACAATGATTACGGTCGTGCGGTGGACTGGTGGGGTTTAGGGGTGGTGATGTATGAGATGATGTGTGGCCGTCTGCCGTTCTACAACCAGGACCACGAGCGTCTGTTTGAGCTCATCCTGATGGAGGACATCCGCTTCCCTCGAACCCTCGCCCCTGACGCCAAATCCCTGCTCTCCGGCCTTCTCAAGAAAGACCCCATGCAGCGGTCAGTGGATCTGCTTACGTCAAAACATGACAATTAGATTAATGTGCAAACTGTAAAGTCAATAGTAAAACTGTGTCAGTCCAGTTTTCAGTGTTGAAGCTCAGTTCAGTGTGGTTTAGTAATCACTGCTGAGAGTCCAAACACTGAAGAGCAAATCCATCGATGCGCAGCTCGACACATCCCAAACCAAGCAAGCCAGTGGAGACAGCGGTGAGGAAAAAACTTCACCAATTGACCAAAGTGAAGGATGAAACACTTGAAGAGAAAACAGGCTCAGTTAGGCACGACAATTTCTCCTATGGCCAAATGTCTTGTGCATCGAGGCGCCGGAGGCTGGAGAGCGCTGGACCTCAGCGGAGACTCGTCTGTCCCTGGAAAGTCACATAATAATAGAAGAAGAAGAATACTGAAGCACTGTGATGACGGACTGACGGAGACTGAGACCTTTTACAATCAGCACTGCAACATTTCAGATCTGCAACAATGAAAAGCTGGAAACATGGAGAGCTGCAGACCAGCATTAATTGTGTGCATATGATTCTTAATGCACATTTTCACATCTTGGGATTTTCATTAAGCAATTTTTTATGCGAGATTCCAACATGTGCATAAAAATAGGCTGATGAAAAAAACTGTTGCATGTGTGTGTGTGTGTTTTCAGGTTAGGTGGAGGTCCTGATGATGCGAAAGAAATCATGCAGCACAAGTTCTTCACTGGAATCGTGTGGCAGGACGTCTACGAGAAGAAGGTAAGAAGATTGTTTCAAACGTGTGTTAGGGCTGCATGATTCATTTGAAAAAAGATCTTGAATCGACCCCCACCTGATTTTTATTCAGCGTCTCTACACTGTGGAAAAATCCATTATTTTACGTTTTTTTTCTGGCAGCTGGGGTGCTAGATTAAAAAACGTAAAATAATGCTGGTTAAATACAGTAATTTATTTTTAAGGAAATTCCTCTAATTTAACGCCCATTATTTTACGGTAAATCTTTGTAATATAACGGAAAAAATAAAAAGTTCTGTAATTTATCAGCCGTTATTTTACGGTAAACTTCTGTAATTTATCAGCTGTTAATTCACAGTAAATTTCTGAAATTTACCTGTCATTATTTTACAGTGAATGTCTGTAATTTAACAGTCATTATTTTACAGTGAATGTCTGTAATTTAACAGTCATTATTTTACAGTAAATGTCTGTAATTTAACAGTCATTATTTTACAGTAAATGTCTGTAATTTAACGGTCATTATTTTACAGTAAATGTCTGTAATTTAACGGTCATTATTTTACAGTAAATGTCTGTAATTTAACGGTCATTATTTTACAGTAAATGTAAAGGTTACAGTAATTTAAAGGTCATTATTTTACAGTAAATGTCTGTAATTTAAAGGCCATTATTTTACAGTAAATCTCTATAATTTAACAGTCATTATTTTACAGTAAATGTCTGTAATTTAACGGTCATTATTTTACAGTACATGTCTGTAATTTAACAGTCATTATTTTACAGTAAATGTCTGTAATTTAACGGTCATTATTTTACAGTAAATGTAAAGGTTACAGTAATTTAAAGGTCATTATTTTACAGTAAATGTCTGTAATTTAAAGGCCATTATTTTACAGTAAATCTCTATAATTTAACAGTCATTATTTTACAGTAAATGTCTGTAATTTAATGGTCATTATTTTACAGTAAATGTCTGTAATTTAACGGGCATTATTTTACAGTGAATGTCTGTAATTTAACAGTCATTATTTTACAGTAAATGTCTGTAATTTAACAGTCATTATTTTACAGTAAATGTCTGTAATTTAACGGGCATTATTTTACAGTGAATGTCTGTAATTTAACAGTCATTATTTTACAGTAAATGTCTGTAATTTAACGGTCATTATTTTACAGTAAATGTCTGTAATTTAAAGGTCATTATTTTACAGTAAATGTCTGTAATTTAAAGGTCATTATTTTACAGTAAATGTCTGTAATTTAAAGGCCATTATTTTACAGTAAATCTCTATAATTTAACAGTCATTATTTTACAGTAAATGTGTGTAATTTAACAGTCATTATTTTACAGTGAATGTCTGTAATTTAACCGTCATTATTTTACAGTAAATGTCTGTAATTTAACAGTCATTATTTTACAGTGAATGTCTGTAATTTAACCGTCATTATTTTACAGTAAATGTCTGTAATTTAACCGTCATTATTTTACAGTAAATGTCTGTAATTTAACAGTCATTATTTTACAGTAAATGTCTGTAATTTAAAGGTCATTATTTT